CGTCGTTGAGCCTCCCGATTTCATGTTTCTTCATTGCGATGTCCCCTTCTTCTTTATCGGTGTTCTCCCCGGTGTTTTTCCTTGGGGCATTTTTTATGAATTGGTGGAGCTCACCCCGTTGAATTAAGAGTTCGATAGCCTTCTTTAACGAGACACAATCATCTGTATTGTGGGAGGTTCTTTTGTGGTAACGGCAATAAGTGCCGCCTTGGTGGATGGCGTAGATCTCCCTCGCTGACCGAGGGTCCTTGGGGAAAAGGTCCTGCTCTTCCGCATAGTTGAGGATAGTGCTCACCGGGTGCGTGAGGGGAGTCCTCGGCATGTCCAGCCGAGGGCGCCACTGGCGTTCGTTACGGCCCCGCTGGGTGTGGCTTCCATGGTCTCGGCCTCCGGCCGAGGGCGCATTTGGGGCCGGCGTGTTGTTTGTCTTCTTCGAGGGCTGGCCCTCGTTCTTCTTGAAGGAGTGGAGGTCGTCGGCGTCGGCGTATAGGCTCCCCCGCTGGAGTGCTCTGAGGTATGATCTTGGGGGGTCAGTGATGAGGCTCCGTGCGTAGGGGCTGCTGCGGAGAACCCCCTGGAAGAGGACGAGGAGGGTACGCTCGTCGGTGCCCTCGACCTCGTCTGTCTCCTTCATCCACCGGTCAATGAAGGACCGAAGTGTTTCATCAGGCTGTTGCTTGACGGAGAGGAGCTGGGAGAAGTGCTTTCTCGCGCGCTTCCTTCTGGCAAAATGGGTGAGGAAGCGTTGGGCAAGATCTTGCCAAGAGTCAATGCTGCTCTCGGGCAATCGGTTGAACCATTCGTATGCTGGTCCCTCCAAGGTGGAAAGGAACCAACGACATAAGTATTCATCTGATGCCCCCATCATCATCATGCTGCTTTGATACCTGTTGTAGTGCTCCTGGGGGTCAGTTTTTCCTTCATAGGGCTTGATGAGTTGCCCTCGGTACTTTTCCGGGATCCGGGCCGCCAATACCCTTGGGGTAAATGGCGTCCGGGTCCGGAGCTGGATGATGGGTTCCCCGGAGCCCTCGGCTACCTTCTTCTGCAATTCCTCCATTTTGGCCATCATGGCCTCGTATTTGAGGTCTGAATGAGGGGTGGAGGTGGTGGCGTGAGCTTTGTTTGCCTCCATTTCATCAAGCCGGCGTTGGAGGGCCGCAATAATTTCGTCCCGGGGGTCCTTCGGGTGGGTCTCCGCCCCCTGCGAACGAACCCGGGCCGAGTGGGCCTGGTTGATTTGGCGGCGAGCATCGTCGGCATGAAGGGGTGCCTTGCCTTTGTCCCGAGGGGGACGCTCATCGTCTGCCCTCGAGACAGACCCTCCACTTTCCTGGGGCCTTTGGAGTGCTTTTCCTCCGAGGCGGTCTTGGACCCCTCAGCGGTCTTGCCCCCCTCCGAGACGGTTGAGGGCGGAAGTGCGGGGCCTCTCTCTGTTGTCATTGTGGCGGTCCCGGGACTGAACTTCCTGGGAGGCCGTATCTTGGGCCACTACCCCTTCATCATTCCTAACCCGAGGGATGGGATTTCCGAAGGGGTGTGGCAGAGGGGGAAGCATGATGTTCTCCCCAACCTGGGGTGGAGCCGGAGCCAGGGTGCCGAAGGCACCCGGGTTCTGAGTTACCGTCTGGATGAAGGCGGAGAGCGCCGAATTAACGTCGATGGTGAGGACCGGAGGGCTGACTTGGTCATCGCTCCGGTTTTTCTTCTTGGCCTCGATGCCGAGGCGGGCATCGGGGGAATTTTGCTTGATCTGAAGGCGTAGGTCGACAGCCGCCTGTTCCAGCCCAGCGATGACACCGCCCTCGGGAGCCCTGTGAGAGGCTTCGGGGGCGTTGACGTCGCCGAGGGCCAGGTTCTTGTCTCCAACGTTTTTGGAGTTGGCACGTGTTGTTCTCACCATTTTGGTAGAGGGCTAGTGTTTGGCGAAGGGGGAGGGTTTCTTACTTGATCGTTCGACCTCTCAAAGAGAGCACCAATTGATGGATAGTGTACCCGGGGGGTAGCTTATCCGAGGGGTTATTGCGGAGAATAACTAGAGAGAAGTCAGAGCAAATAAGTAAGAGAGAGAGTGTATATTCGATATGTATTAAGCGTGGTTTACAATGGGGGAAAGGGGTGTTATTTATAGTAGTAATAAATTCTAGATAAGGACGCATGTCAATTTTCTGGTGGTCGAGGGGTCACCTCGACCGGGGTGGCACTGGCACTCGCATGTGGCCGCATTAAATGCGGTGGTTGGATGTGACGTTTGTACTTGGTACGGTGATCCAGGCGCATGTGAAGAGGATATTCTGTCGATGTGGATGCCTTCGGCTGAAGGGTGCTGGGCCGAAGGCTCTTCTAACCGAGGGCTCCTACTTGCCGAGGGCTGCAGGTGCCGCAGGCTTGGTTTTCAAGCCTTGTTCTCCTGTGATGCCTCTTCTAACCGAGGGCTCCTACCTGCCGAGGGCTGCAGGTGCCGAAGGCTTGGTTTTCAAGCCTTGTTCTCCTGTGATGCCTCTTCTAATCGAGGGCTCCTACCTGCCGAGGGCTGCAGTTGCCGAAGGCTTGGTTTTCAAGCCTTGTTCTCCTGTGATGTTTCTGAGCTCGATTCCGTCACTGGTAGCCTTCGGCCATGGGGCCGAAGGCACCCCTTTGCGTATTGTGGGCTGCTTAGAGCTCCATTTTGCTGGGCTTGGCCCGTTTGGGCATGTTGGACCTGATTGTAGTAGAGGAAGTATGTGGGCCGGGGGTCCCTAGGCCATGTACTCCATCACGTCACCTATAAGGTAAGATATCGTTCGCCGAAGTTTTTATAGTTTCTGGTCGCCGAAAACGCGACTCGCCTGAGAAGACAACCCAGGTTGACTGGGTTGGCTTTCTGGGTCTGGTTATTGGGCAGGTTCCACCCAGTTTGATTAAATATTAAAAATAAAATAGTAAATTAAATTAATAAAATCTGGAAAAATATAAAATAAATTCCTGATACAGAAATACATATTCTGATCAACCAGAATTGAAAAATAATAATATTAGATATTTTAATTTATTTATTACTAATTGAGCCAAATAGTCTATATTAAAGGAATAATTAGATAAATGATGATAAATTAGGAAATAAATATATGAGTAATACAACTTAATTATATGACTCAAAATGATATTTTGACTGATCATAATTAATAAATATTATGGTTAAGGTATTTAAATTCAATTGGGCCTTATTTAGCTTTTATATTAATTAAATAAATAAGTGTGGAAATAATTATAGAATTATTATCTGGACATCCTGGACTGGATATATGACCTAATTTATAAACATAGTAAAGTATAAATTTATAAAAGTGATGCTTATGATATTTTAATTTAATGGGCTGAAATTAGTTAATAAGTAAATAAGTGGTAAAATTAGTTAATAAACTATAAAATAATATTAATGAATGAAATGGTGAATATATATATTTATGGACTAAATATGACTTAATTATATTTTTGTGGATTTTTAATTATATATATGATTTAATTGAGCTTATAAAGAAAGTTATGTAATTAAATAGGAAAAAAGTGATACTAATGATAAATAAAATAAATCTATGGAAAATAGAAATAATATTCTGGGATCAAAACAATTTTAAAACTTAAATAAGAACAAAAATATAATATTGGTGTAATTTCGTATTTAGAAGAAAATTAAATAAATTAAGGAATTAATTACTATCCCGTTAATCAAAATTATTAAATTAATTTTGATTTGTTGTGGAGACCAAGAAAGTATTGAGTAGATATTGATTCGGGAGTTATATATTACTACTAGAGGAAGAATTCAAAGAGAATCAAGGTTGCGCGGTAGAATAGACTAGCTATAGAGGGAAGTACAACTGCAACTGAAATTTCTATTTTCCCACTTATATATGTTGATGGTCTGTTTTAAATGCTTTCCATAAAATTATTTGATTACATGAATATTCTGAAATTATGATTTGATGAAATCTCATTTGTAAATGAATAAATGATTTTATGGAATTATGATATGCTTATTTGTTTTATAAATGTTTTCTCACATTTATGGAAAATATATGAATTTTTTCCCACGAATTTCTAAAATTAAGAAAGTATGAATTTTGGGATATATTAGACCCAACAAATATTATATTAGGGATTTGTTATGAAAAATCCTTTTTGAGAAACTAATTATGTTTTCTGAGAATATTGATTTGGGCCCTTGAAATAACACAACGTGTCGTAGTCTAGTTCTGTCATTATCCTTGTCTTTGGGTTAAAGTGTTATTGGAGTTGAATTCGTGGTATTGAGTTTTGAAAAATTGAGAGCGGCAACGCTCTAGGTGATGGCAGTTTCTAGCTACATAGGACAAACATTCATTTTTGAGTGGTTGGTAGAAAAATTCTGGCCACTTGAACTTCCTACTACTATATGATATTGGAATCTCTTTTGAGGGTGTATACACTTAAGATTAAAGTTCAGTTTCAACATATTTGAATTTGGATGAGATTCAGTATTTGGTTCGAGGTTCACAATTGATGACGACTCGTTGGGTTAGAGAAATCTTTAACCCCACTCATCACTTAAGGAATACCATAGGATTGGCTTGTTGAACACACATGATTTCTAAGTGAAATAAAATTTTCAACGTATATCAGCTATGTATTGAACTCTATGAATTTCTGTACAAGAAAACTATTTTTCAAAACCCTAATATTTTACGGGGTTGGGTTGGATTTACTTAGCTTTCAAGCTAATTTTGTTTCTCTATGTTTTCTTTTCTTTTCCTGTTTTCAAAACAAATGACTATGTGGGATGTGTTGTTGCTGATTAAAGCTTATGATCCAAGAGCTTTGTATCAAATAGGAAGCATATATACTATCACAAAAAGGTGAACAGGTACTCGAACCAGGAATCCAAGCTCGTCGAGAATAGACCGAATGTGCAATGTGTCCTGAATAGTGTAGGTTATTGCTCTATATTCTGCTTCTGTGGAGGGTTTGAAGACAGTGGGTTGCTTTTTAGACTTACAAGATACAAGAGTTGGACCTAAAAAGATTGCAAACCCAGTAGTAGAACGTGAGGTATCTGGGCATCCAACCCAACCTGCATCTGAATAAGCAATTACACAAGTGGCTTGTGTAGAGGGTCGTAGCCACAAACCATGATCAAGTGTGCCCTGCAAATATCTAAAAATCATTTTGACTGCAAACAAATGAGTAGTACGAGGGGCATGCAAAAATTGAGACACTAAATGCACAACATAAGTAATATCAGGTCGTGTCAAATTTAAATATTGTAATGCACCACTCATACTGCGGTACTCAGCGGGATCTGTCTAAAGGTCACCATCAGTGAGAGACAGAGTAATGCGAGTGGCAAGAGGAGTACGAACAGATTTGAGAGTGTAAAAGTGAAAACGGGACAGAAGATCGTAAACGTATTTATGCTGGGACAAAAAGAGACTTTTAGAGGTGTGCTGAGCATGAACACGTAGAAAATAGTGAAGGTCACCCAAATTTTCATTGCAAAATGAAGGGAAGTTAAATGAATAAAGGAGGTGACAGTAGAGGAGGAATTACCAGTAATAACAATGTCATCTACATATAATAATAAATAAATGACATAATTATTCTGGCGATAAATAAACAAAGAATTATGAGATTTACTGCAAGAAAAATTATGACTCAATAAAAAGCTACTAAACCTGTGAAACCACGTCCACAGAGCTGGTTTGAGATCATAAATGGCTTTGCGCAAGCGACACATATGATTAGGAAATTGAGGATGAACAAAGCCTCGCGGTTGACGCATATAGACTGCTTCTGTGAGATAACCATGAAGGAAGTCATTTTTCACATTTAATTGACGCATAACCCACCTAAAAGAAATAGCTAAGGTAAGAACAACACGAACAGTGGTGGGTTTAATTACAAGATTAAATATCTCAGAAAAATCTACACCGACCTGCTGATTACAACCCTGAGTAACTAAACAAGCCTTATCACGTTTAATAGACTTATCGGAATGAAATTTTGTCTTAAAAATCCACTTAGGTCCCACAATATTTTTAGAATTATCGAAGGTTACCAAATCCCAAGTATGATTAGTAATGAGAGCATTAAATTTCTCAGTCATGATCTCACGTCATTTTAAGTGTTTATTTGCCTCTAAAAAACAAGTCGGATGGACAGATAAAGCAACTCTATTTAAATTAAAAATGTGTTTTGGTTTGAAAATGTCCAATTTACCTCAGGTTTGCATTGGGTGGATATTAGCAAGGGATTGAGTGGAGTAGGTGGACTGAGGTGCAGGTGGTGACTGGGTTGAAACTCCCAGCTCGATTGTGGGAGTCGCTGAATTGGAAGAGGTACTGATATCGGGGCCGGGAATGGTCTGTGACGGCTGGGACGAGGATCAAGAGAATTGTAAGTCTGATGGATCATCTGGGGGAGTCGGTGCCGTGCCACTGTCAAGCTCAAGGGAGAGGGTCTGATCGCTAGGGACAGAAGATGGGGAAGAGCAGGTGAAAAGAATAGGAAAGGTTACCTTAATTAGGGTCCTAACGATATATTTATATACTCCTTAATAAAATAGGAGTTTCCAAAATACATAAGATTCCTAATATAGATAAATTATTAAATTCGTATAATTAGTAATAATAATACTTTGGCTTGTGAGATTCATCCACTAGATTTTTGTTAAAAGTTTACTATTTTATTCTAGTGCTAATTTTGTTAATGATAGGCAACGTAAGGTTGAAAAAAAATTAACTTCTCATTCACTATTCACATTGTTAAATTAAATTACTCTTAATCTTTTGCTTTATATATCAAATTTATATTTTTTATCGGGCTTTGTAGCGGTTTTAATGTAGTTTTTGAATATATAAATTTTATTTACTACAAATAATCTAAGTGTGAACATGGATCAAAATGTTTTATCATCAGTCAAGCATCGTAATCCGAAATCGGAAGTTGTTTAAGGGACGAGTAGTAGTATTTTATACTCTCTCCGTTTCACAATCTTTGACACAGTTTGACTTGTCAAGAATTAAGGAAAAAATGTTACTGAAGGGTAAATTTTACTGTAGAGTACACTGTTTGGCACTGTTTGAACACTGTTTGGCACTGTTTGAAGACTGTTTGGCACTGTTTGACACTGTTTTGCACTATTTTGGTAAAGATTTGTTTACCAAATAAGGAAATAAGGAAGTGTGTCATTGATTGTGAAACGGCCAAAAAAGGAAAGTGAGTCAAAGATTATGAAACGGAGGGAGTATTCCACAACTTAGCCTATAGGCATATATACCTATTTCAAATGGACCCTTTGAGCAATAAGTCTTGTTGGAAAATACGGGTTTCCCTAAAATATTAATGTAATACTTATTAGTACTTCCTAATATGTATGAAAAAAAATGTGACTAAAGTAAATATGCGTATTAGATTATGACCAGTCTCTAAAAATTACAAATTATAATCACTTCTTACAAAGTCACATTTTTGTCTAACACCTCCATTTTAGTCAGAATGTTCTCTCACCAATTAGCCTTACACGTGACATGTATATAGTGGATTAGTTATTTTTACTTGTTCACTAAGTATTTCCTTGTACAATATAAATTTCACATTTCAACTTGTGAAAGAATATCATATTACGAATTTTTAAGCATATTGTAATTGCCAAATTTTCGACTCACCTCATACTTAGATTATTTCCCGACTATCCCGCGATTTACTAACCTCGCGTCTGTAAAATATTACTTCCAAATATCCTCATTTCAAATAAAGATATTTTTCACATTTTTTGTTTTTTTTTTAATTTGGACCCAACCGGCGTTGGTTTGGCTTGTGACCGACAGTCGGTTGCTCTCGTGAATTTTGCCTTGCAGAAAAAGTTTGAACCTTGCTTTGTATAAGTTTGTTGTGTAACCCGTTGTTCCAGACAACATATCTTTTTGTACGTTATTTATTTGTACGTGATTCCTTCACCAAAGTTGTAGCTAAGAAAGTTCTCTATCCATCAAAACTTGAATCACTTGATTTGAAGCATCTAATCTAAAGATATAATCAAAATAGTGAGAGGAATACATTCTGAAATCTCATCAGCAACATTTGACTTTATCCATAGATTTTGTCTTGATACTTTCATCTAGCCATGACATCTTCACAACATTTGCATCTTGTTGAGGCATAGTTCACATGAAATTCGAACATTGTCATTTGGAGGTCTCTACAATAAGTTATACTCGAATTATGAGCAGCACGTAATCCTTTTGATCCAAAAAACTGTTCATCACAATGTTTTGTGCTCTAGCTCCCATTTAGAAGGTATTTAACCAATTTCTCTTCTTTTCTTCAACAAATACTTATAAATATTTATGTAGAATATAAGTAGAACGGCTATCATAGGGACAAACTGATCCATAGTACATAATTTACATAAGATTTCCTAGTATATATTCTATCTACATGATATCACATCACATGAAATTTCCTTCAATAAATTGAGAAGTATTTGTCTTAATGTTGAGGCCTAAACTATGAACACTGAAAGATAAACAAACTAAGTATCGAAAATAAAAAATATTCTGTATGATGCGTGTGTGATGTTTTGATACTCAACTCTAGATAAATGTATGTCATAACAAAACTTACACATGTCAAAAATCATGTTTCCATTGTCTATCGTAACAGGAATCGGGCATTTAATTAATAGCAACATTGTACTCATAATATTTGACAAAGAACTAATATTTAACTATAATAAACTTTTAGGTGAATCGCAATACTATTTATTCTCATTCATACTTCAAATACAAGAAATTAGAAGTCCCTTCAATTTAATTCATTTCTATGCTTTGAACTTCATATCCCTAAAAAGGAGTAAACACAGATACAAGAGTAATTCCGTAAATAGGAGTCCATGTTTTATATCCCCCAAAATAGGATCAAATATTACACTTCAACTCCTTAATATAATTAATTACATCCTTAATATAAGTAATTGTCCATAATTCCCGCAAAACAACTAGGTCAATTCGATGGTGACGGCGACAGTTTGGTGGTGGTGGTGGTGGCAAAACTCCAGTGGCCAGTGACAGCGACGACAATCCAATGGCAATGGTAACCCCAACCGTTGTACGGGTATTCTAGTACAATGACAAACAAGTTGACAAAGTGAGATCACCTAATGTTAACAAAAAATGTACTACACCTGCACTTTTCCACCATTTGAAGTTTGAACTAGAAAATATTAATTTTCTCAAAAATGCTATGTGTACATGCCAGGTTACACGGCAGTGTACACAACGCACAAAGCCCTCACCCCACCCGTATAAACTCCTCCCCTCCCTCCTTCCTTTCTTTTCCTTTTTTCCTCTCTCTCCATGTGCCTAACTTCCTTCTCCCTCTTTCCTCTTTTCTTTTTTTATTTTCTCTCCCTCCCCGCGCCCAACTTCCTTCCACCCTCTTTTCCTCTTTTCTTTTTTCTCTTCTCCCCCTCCATGTGCCCAACATTCTTCAGCCTCTTTTCCTCCTTCCTTCTCCCTCGTAAATAACTCTCTTTATCTCCCTTTCTCCATCTTTTTTCTTTTCTTTTCTCGTTTTCTGCATTTCAGAGGCTCTCACTTTTTTTGCAGATCTAAATCCGCACAGAAAAATAGGAGTCACAATTGAATCTACTTTGCTCTCTCAAATATTATTCATGAGGTAATACTTTATTTCATATTTTTTGTGCATTTAGGGTTATATTTTTTCCCGTTTTTTAATTTTATTTATACAAAATATGTTGTGGTGGTGTTGATGAATGTTTATTACAATGTAATATCAGTTGTAATATCAGTATGGATTTGTGATAATTTAGATTTTTATTCAACTGTTATAGCTCACTTTTATGCATATTAAGTGTTTGTTGAAATGTTTCAATGAGATATAACTATGTATAATTGATTTTTAGTTTTAATTTAGCTTATTGTTTTACTGAGATGTCTGTGTAGTTTGTTGTTATACAGTTGTACGTAGCAGAGATGTCTTTATGGTTTTCCGGAGATGTCTGTGTAGTGTGTTCTTATATGTTTGTGCATTTTTAGGGTTCTATATGGTTTTCATGAGATGTTTGTGTAGTCTGTTCTTATATGTTTGTGCATTGTTTAGTTGTCTATATGGTTTTCATGAGATGTCTGTGTAGTCTGTTCTTATATGTTTGTGCATTTTTAGTTGTCTATATGTTTTTCATGAGATATCTGTGTAGTCTGTTCTTATATGATTGTGCATTTTTTAGTTGTCTATATGGTTTTCATGAGATGTCTGTGTAGTCTGTTCTTATATGTTTGTGCATTTTTTAGTTGTCTATATGGTTTTCCTGAAATGTATGTGTAGTGTTTTCTTATATGTTTGTGCTTTTTTAGTTGTCTATATGGTTTTCATGAGATGTCTGTGTAGTCTGTTATTATATGTTTGTGCATTTTTTAGTTGTCTATATGGTTTTCCTCAGATGTCTGTGTAGTTTGTTGTTTTATGTTTGTGCTTTTCTGAAGTGTGTATATGATTTTCTTGAGATGTCTGTGTTTGTGACAAATGTCTGTGTTAATATTTTGAGGATGGACTATGACAGCTGTCTATGTGGACCTCCCGTTGATACCGAGGTGCGAGTACGACAACATGCGCAATAAGAGGTGTGACTTTGCTAAACGACTTTCGAAGATGTAAGACAACCCGCCGGTTATGTACATTGATGAAGAATGATGTACAATGATGTACATTTTTTATATATGTTTAGTTATAAATACATTGGTGGTAACCTAATTTTTTGACATACAGTGGTGCTTAGGTGTAGTATTTTGTACAATAATGGTCTGTATCGTGGAAATTGTATGTGGAAGAACTATAATTTTGTACTTTGGAAATCAATGAATGCAACATTCTATAAGATTTGTACTTAGTATATGTTTAAGTTTTATCTGCTAGAAGTGTGTTTTTGTTTCTTTATTTCAATGGGTTTAGTAAAATACTCTTTCCATCCCTTACAACTTTGCCATCTTTCCTTTTTGGGACGTCCCAAAAAACTCTATCACTTTCCCTTTTAATCAATTATTTTGTGTTTTGTGTTATTTCTCTCTCCTCTGCACAAACCTAAACCACACAGTTTTTACTTTATTATTCTCCGTGCCGGTCAATTTTGGCAAATTTCTTAAGGGACAGAGGTAGTATGTCTTTAGCTTATCAACTTGGTAAACTGATTGTAGTAGTACAAATAAAAGATTGCAGTAGTGTGCGCGGTTTCATCTAAGTACTATTAAATTGATCTCTTGATTTTATAAACAAATAATGGGACTAAACCTAAAAACAAATGGGTACTAAAGATAGGATGCATTTGCCTTATTTGGTCCTGATTTTGAAAGTTGAGCACCAATCTCATATTCTTAAGTATTTCACCAACATTTTGACAATATATTTGACAGATACAGTACGGTCATTGAAAGCATGTGTATAAAACTGAATTGCATAACATTCAGATTACATGTCCAAATGAGATTATTCCAATCCTAAAGTTACAACCAGCATCCTCTCTGAATTCTGAAGTTTTTCTCTTCTCTTAACATCATTGTCATCCTTCCAAAAAAGAACAACCAGCATGCTCCTTCCTACATGAATGTATAAAATCAATTAATCAAGACATATCCTCCTTACATTAAACACGAAATTGAATATTTTTCACAAAAAAAAAAATCTGAAACTATTATGAATTTATTGTTCTGGCATTCAAACTCTTCTTTTTTGGAAAGTAAATAACATAAAATCCTGGAATTCCACTTAGAATATTTACATTTATCCATTCATGTACAACCCATGCAGATGGACATCTCAAGAAAACCATATACACACTTCAAAAAAGCACGAACATATAACAACTATCTACACAGACATGTGAGGGAAACCATATAGACAACTAAAAATGCACAAACATATAAGAAAACACTACATAGACATCTCAGGAAAACCATATAGACAACTAAAAAATGCACAAACATATAAGAACAGACTACACAGACATCTCATGAAAACCATATAGACAACTAAAAAATGCACAAACATATAAGAACAGACTACACAGACATCTCATTAAAGCATATAGACAACTAAAAATGCACAAACATATAAGAACAGACTACACAGACATCTCATTAAAACCATATAGACAACTAAAAAATGCACAAACATATAAGAACAGACTACACAGACATCTCATGAAAACCATATAGACAACTAAAAATGCACAAACATATAAGAACACACTACACAGACATCTCCGGAAAACCATAAAGACAACTCTGCTACGTACAACTGTATAACAACAAACTACACAGACATCTCAGTAAAACCATAAGCTAAATTAAAACTAAAAATCAATTATACATAGTTATATCTCATTGAAACATTTCAACAAACACTTAATAGGCATAAAAGTGAGCTATAACAGTTGAATAAAATTCTAAATTATAACAAATCCATACTGATATTACAACTGATATTACATTGTAATAAACATTCATCAACATCACCACAACATATTTTGTATAAATAAAATTAAAAAAACGGGAAAAAATATAACCCTAAATGCACAAAAAATATGAAATAAAGTATTACCTCATGAATAATATTTGAGAGAGCAAAGTAGATTCAATTGTGACTCCTATTTTTCTGTGCGGATTTAGATCAGCAAAAAAGTGAGAGCTTTTGAAATGAAGAAAACAAGAAAAAAAAAGAAAAAAGATGGAGAAAGGGAGATAAAGAGAGTTATTTACGAGGGAGAAGGAAGGAGGAAAAGAGGCTGAAGAATGTTGGGCACATGGAGGGAGAGAAAAGAAAAAAGAAAAGAGGAAAGAGGGAGAAGGAAGTTAGGCGCACGGAGAGAGAGGAAAAAAAGGAAAAGAAAGGAAGGAGGGAGAGGAGGAGTTATACGGGTAGGGTGGGGGCTTTTTGTGCTATGTACACTGCCGTGTAACCCGGTGTGTACACATAGCATTTTTGTAATTTCCTATATTCCATAAGATTCAAAAGTGCTACATTTGTCCGATTAAATCTGGGACGTAGTGTTGAAATAAATTGAGAGAATTCCCTAAACAGGAGTAAAAAAGTTTTGAAATTCCAAACTAGGGCTATCATGTTTTTTATTCCATGAATGAGTAAATTTATACCAAGTTTGGCGTTATTAGGCATTAAATATGGCATTTTTTCCCAATCTTCGCAGAATTACTCCTATTTAGAGAATAAGAACATGAAAATCCTATTTTGAAATTTCAAAACATTTTACTACTACCTCTGTTCCACTAAGATTGGGGCAAGATAAAATGACACGATTATTAAGAAAAGTGAATTTGTGTAGCCTCATAGCTAACTTAAAGAAGTGGGTCAAATTAGGCGTGGACTCGGGCCGGGTCGGGCCCGGGCCGGGCCTAGGCCCGGTCGGGCCGCCGGTTTGTATGACATGGGCCTGGGACCGGCCCGAGGGTTGGACGGGTCCGGTTCAGGCCGGGCCACCCGCCCGAGTCATGGGTCGGGCCACGCGCCGGGTCGGGCCGGGTCGGTTAAAGTTTTTTTTATAATTTATATTTTATAGTTTATAGTTTTATACAAGTATTAAAAACAAACTTCAAGTTCATTTATTTGAAATGAAATAGGAACTACATTTGAAAATTAAAACAAACTTTAAGAGACAAATATTTTGAAAATTGTAATCAATCGGAACTTCCCGCAGCTCCCGATCCTTTGGCTTTGTCACATAACTTCATATGCTTCATTGCCATCCCGTATCCGCCTGAAACCCCCATGCTACATTTTTTCCCGCACCAATTGCAAGTTGCGTACCACATCCCGGTCTTCGGGTCCTTCTGCTTATCAAAATTATACCGTATAATGGCATCTTGATTTTCCATCTTAACTTCTTAAGTATAAACTATAAAGTAGATATATAAATAATAAATATAATATATTGGAGAATAAGAGAATTAGAGAGTAGAGAGTTAAGAATAGGATTTAGGAAGAATTGGAGAAGAGATGTGAAAAATTGTTTAAGATTAGGAGTATTTATAGGGTTTTTACCCCCCCCCCCCCCCCAACCCCCAACCCCCCTCCCCAACCCCCGGACCCCCCCTGCACCCCACCCAACGGCTATATAGCCGTTTGGGTTGTCCCCAGCCCACCCCCCAAGGCCATAACGGCTAGTTTGGGGCCCAACAATTTTTTTTTTTAAATTGGACCGTTGGACCCGGACCCGGGCCCGACCCGGCCGGGCCGGGTCAACTTTTTCAGGAACCGTACCCGCCCCGCCCCTCCCCGCCGGTTCGGGTCTACACCCGGTCCCGGACCGCCCGACCGGGCCGGTCCCGCACAGTAGCGGGCCGGGCCAGGTCACGGGCCGGGTGGCCCGAACCGAATCCAACACTAGGTCAAATACTTCAAGGATATGTGTAATTTGTTTGGAATTTGAAGTGAGCCATAAAATATAGCGAATTGGCTAAGAGACAAACATTTCGAGCTGTCTAAAATATAAAAACCGGACAAACAAAATGGGACAAACGTAGTAAACAAACGAAAGTCACCTACAAGAGGTGTCAAGAAAAGTGATGAATAATGCGCGTAAAAGTGAAAAAGAATCATAAACAAATTTTGAGCTCAGATGAAATAATTTTAAATGATAATAATTATTCTATTCTTCTAAAACTTGAATTTCAAACATAATTAGGACTGGCTAAACCCTGAGCCGCTCATAAAAAATACTACCAAAATATGAAACAAAATATACAAACCAGGAGGAAACACATAATAAATGCTAGAAGACAGGGGCAAAACATAATACTATGAGAGGCAACATATACAGGGGAAATAATCATGCTCACTACTTCTGCTCCACAAAGAAACATCCCATAGAAGATTAAAGGCTCCCAAATTTGGTGAAGATCTATCTATGATTATGGCAGATTTAGATTCCTCCTCCCGCTCTCCCTCTCCATAACTCTAGCTTTATACCTTCTCTTGAAAATGTCTTGTCTAAACTTCTTGGTTTCTTCTTGTATGTCCATGTATGGCTTCTTCTCTATCCTTTCCTTTTCAAATTCTATCATTCTTTTCTTCTTCGACACTTCTATAGTTGTTGCCTCGTCCTCATTGTCATCATTTTGCTGTTGCATTTCTTCCTGCATTTTGGCGTATATGGTGAATTCCAAAACAAGGCAGGAGACATCACTAATGTATTATGATATGAGAATTCATTCTAAAAAGTAGTCGTAATACGAAAAGTGGTCCAAGATCATAGGTCTTGATAGAGATGGTTGCAGGTTTTTTAATTTAGGATTTTGAAAGTTATGTGATGCGTGTATGTTGTATGATAAACCAATGCTACTCATACTTAAACTAACCGTGTCAGAAAATGAAACGCCACATTTTTTGTTTCCAGAACCTTACTTTTGTTTGTTTTTAAAACTGAAAACAAAAAACCACCAAACGGGGCTTTGTATGTTTGATTTGCATTTTCTGGATGTGGGATGGCTCAACATAATGGATGGTGTATCAATGTGGGAGGCTATGAACCTGAGTGCATGAGTCAAAATGAGGCTTAAAAGGAGCAATTACCAGCATGAACTCATATCATTACATGCTCATATGTTTTGTTCAATTTTCTCGATTTAAGACATTGTAGATAATAGAAAATTATTCAAGAGGAAGTACAAGAAGAGGGTACATGACTTATATGGGTCAGAAAGAGGTTTTAAGAAGGTAGAATCCAAAAATGACCTAGATGAACCACTAGCTTTATATAACGGGAAGTAAGAGATGAAGATACCTGGAGATTACTAATGAGTCTATCCAAGGATTTGATCTTTCTGTGAGGCCAGCGGGGGATACCGAATTCTCTGCACTTTTTCTTGAGTACAGTAAGTCCAATTTTCAGGCTTTTTGAAGCTTCAGTAATTGGAAGGTCAAAATACTTGACAAGATCTTCCAAAGCAATCCTTGCTATATCTTCAGGTGCTGCCCTCCGTTTCTTGTGCACTGCATAGGTCACCACCAACATCATTTAGGGAGTGCTTTCTGGCCCACAAAGTTCAAACTTTCACGATAAATTTAAACAACTGGAAAGTAATTATCATGTTTGGTGATGCCTTTGATCTGGGAAACCAAGGGATAACTGTTTCAACCCAGGGTTGCTATATTGACTTTGAGAATCACATTCCTGGGAACTTAATTAAATGAAATGTAACAAACTTCCTCTAATCTAACAAATAAAATAATTCTAGTTAAAATCTGCAGGTCAGTATTTACTCCTGATTGGATTAAGAAAAATTAAGACTAACTAAGGGACTTCTACAATTGATCCTTGATGGTCCTTTTGGGGCCTGGAAAATGCTAGGGAAAGAAAACACAGGCAAAAATAGAGTGGAAATAAAAACCTAAGAGAATGAAGGAGAAAATAAATAACAGGTCTAACTTCAAACTCAATAGTTCAATTTTAGATTTTTGCAAAATCTCATTTTATGTATATATTTCTATTATAGAAATAACAAGGTCAGCCCAGTGCACATTGGCGTCCCCAAAAGGGGCGGGGGTCCGAGGAAGGGTCTCACCAGTCACCACAAGGGTGTATAAGGCACAAGCCATCCCTTCTTAATTTTTTACACTAGGCCGCTCCAATATTATATTTGAACTCGTAACCTCTCGGTCATATGGCAACACCTTAACCAGTGCGCCAACACCTTATATATTTTTTATATAAATAATACGAAATCCAATATATATAAGACTTTAAATTTTAAATCAAATTTGACTTTATAGCCTAAGTAAATTGGATGCACACTTTGCATTTGAAGTTGGGTTATTCTTTCCAGTTCGTTTACAACCATTAGCACAAACCAAGCAGTTTGTATACATCATCTTTGGAACTTCGATTAAAGAAAAAATGATTAAAAAAATTCAAATTTGTTGTTATTCTGATAGTTTTACCGGATATGTCACTATCCTCTTCAGCATCTGAATCTGGTATAGAGTTGAGATCCAGAAAACGGATATTGGTTGTCATCATTCCTGATCGGTGATCACTTGAACTCTTGCTACTGCACACTTCAGTGACAAGATTTTGTTCTGACTTTGAGGTTTCTGCATTCTGATCCAGCTTTGACATGGCATGTACATCATCACCCAAATCTTGGAAAATCAGTCTACATTTTCTTGAAACGCAACAACAAAAAGATGAAACCAGAACTAAGAGCAGGGAGTTGAAAGAGGTCTGTGAGTATACATTTGAATTTGAGCTAGCAGTGCATTGGAATGATTATCCGCGCAACTTAGAAAAACAAAATAATGGTAGGGAATTGAATAGCTTGCACAAAAGCAACATACCATCTTTTGTTATTAAAGAAAACGTACGTGATTAAATATGAGAAGATAAATGAATGAGTAAAATAATTATGCACTATTGAATCTTCATACTGATAAGGTAGATTAGAGAACACGGATTATACACTCCAATAAAAAAATGCAGCGGATCAGTTGTAAAGAAAATTGGGTAACAATATAATATAATAAAGTAATAAAGCTAACGTATTAAGTATTAACATGAATTACCAATAATAGTACTCCTATAACTTAGAAGTGAATAAAAAGGGTAAAATGACACTTTATGGTAAAAAAATTGCTTGATTATTCACTTCCTCGGTTATCCACTTTTAGAAATGTAGTCATGACTTATTACACGTTATTGCAATTTCTTTAATGGAAACCATCACAAGAATTAAGTTAACGAACTAACAAGTCAATTTTCAAGAAATATAGATTGGGTAAATATGGCTAACCAAGGGTTATTATGTGTATAAAAGTTGAACAATAGCCACCAAAACGGAAAATCATGCCGAACTCTAAGGCCAAAAATGTAATTAAAACAAATAAAAAGCAAGAGATATGTTTCAAATGATTACAAGATAGGCTTTATCGAATGCACTCTATGAACGTTTACGACATGACACATGTAACCATCACCGTCCACACTTCGCCCATTGCAACACCAACTGTCAAAACAAAATAGAGGCTTGGTACAAATTACATTTGTTTGAAACTCAATTTACAAGTTACAACCTTCGAAATTATGACCATCATTAATCTAAGATGCTTACAAATTATTATTTACTATGGAAACTAAAACATTCCACCAACCAGTTCGGTTTGATGTTTTTACACACGTACTAAGGAAGCCACAAAATTTTCTAAAATCGAGCTAAAATACTCTAATATGACCAAAATAGTATCATTAGTGCATATTAAAGACATAAAGTAGTATATGAAGCAATTATAGATGAAGAAAGACAAATGTGGAAATCAGCGGTTAATGCTCCACTATCAGAAAAGGTGCAACAAATCATACCAAATGAGAAAGTTTAACACCAGGTACGTTAATATGCAGCCAGCCCAACCCAGAAACATATATGAGGACATTGATAGTAATAATTAAACAGAGCGTTTGGTTCAACTTACTTAGAAATTGGAACCCATTCATCAGAGTAATCAACCAAGGGAGGTTGGGTGCGATGAGAGTCGAATATATAGACGCATTTCCAGACACCATTTTCAATCCCCGTGTGCTGCTCTGAAATATCGAATCCATACAACGTGAGTACTCTAGAAGTTCCATTTCCGCCAAAGTTCTTATCTTTCCGGGTGTGGTTGAGCAGGTATTCTTTCTCCTCTGTTTCTTCATTCCCTCCAGTTAGCCGGAAGACGCGCACCGCCCGAAACATCTCTACTCTCACAAAGAGAAAAAAATCAATTTTAAAGGAGACCCGTTTCGAGATTTTGCATTTAATGGCGGAAAAAATAAAAGGTGGACAGATGGAATAGGAAGGGATTGCCTACCTTTATACATTGAATTAATGAAAACGAGAAGAGCTCTGAGAATGCGAGCCTGTCTTGGAGCCATGGAGAGAGAGGGGATGCGGCAGGGGAAATAAGAAATCTATGGGAGATTCTGGGTTTGCATGACGGAGTCTCAGTTATCCATTGCGAGAGAGAGTGTGCATTTATTAGTGCGCTTTTGATCCATTTATATACGACCAGACCGGTTTATGTCACATACGGACGACTATGTATTTTAAACCCGCAGCCATAATGATGCGAAGTTACAACTCCTCCCGGTTGGATACAGCTCTAATGCTCAGAGGTACAAGATCTAACACCGTTGGGTCAGAGCTTACAAACTCCCAAAAAGTCTTTTCGGATCGGAGCGTATGAGGCCCTTCGGGTTGGAGAAATCCTTATAAACATTGAGCTTCAATTTTATTTACATTATAAAATCATTTAGTATTGACTAAACTGGTTGCACTACAGTTTTAATTAATGTGGACGATTTAACTCATTTTGATTAACTCATTTTGATGATTTATGAAAAAATTATATAAATACATTTCATTAATATAATAAAGAAAAATATAAAAATAGTTGTTAAAGTCCAATCTTAACCATAAAACTAAATCTATTCTTACTTCTTTTGATTATTACACAATCAAGCACACGAAATAAAAAATTACGTGTTTGGTGAAAAAGGGTTAGGTCACCAATATTATTAATCATAAGAGATTAGACAAATATAAAACCTCTTTCTAATTCTTCATCCATCACGCAGAGTAACATGAACCGTATCATTGGTATCAGAGTAACGAGAGTACGTATGCATGCAACTCTAGAATATAGGAAAGGGAACGAAAATGTGTTTATTCATCTCAAAAGCATAGCATGTATGCGTACATCAAAGGCTTATATAGCCGAAACTAATATGCTAACTGTTAACTAACATGCCACATCTAACCCACGTCAGCTAACTAACTAACTCCCATAACAATGCTTTCCCCTTTTTACTGACTTGCCCTCAAGTCAAACTATGATAAAATTCCAGAAAAGCCTGCTGAACAAAATCAGCCCACTCCCATGTTGCATTTTCAGCATCCTGGCCTTCCCACTGAATCAACCACTTTACTCTTGCCACATTTCCATGCTTGCACATCTGTCTTTCCAACACTGCTATAGATTGCACCTTATTTTGTGTAGACACTCCTTGCAACCATCGAGGAATATGCGGCTTGGAAGGTAAAACTCCCCTAAATGGCTTGAGTAATGAGACATGAAAAGTATGATGTATTTTAGCTCCCTCTGGCATCTTCAGCTTATAAGCAACATAGCCCACCTTATTCTCAACTTGAAAAGGATCATAGTACTTGGGTGCCAACTTTTCATTTCCCCTATGCTCCACAGTATGCTGCCTGTATGCCTGGAGTTTCAATCATACCCAATCTCCTACCTAAAAACTCCTTTCAGACCTGTGCTTATCAACCTGAACTTTCATTCGATTTTGAGCCCCCTTCAAGTTATTCTTGAGCTTCTTAATCATAGCTTCTCTCTGCTGTAAGGACCTATCCACATCTTCTACATTAGTCTCACCTGGTAAATAGGGTAGATGCAGAGGAGGACGCTGGTTGTAAACAACCTCATAAGGGGTCATTTGTGTAGCAGAATGAAAGGTTGTATTATACCACCACTCAGCCAAGGGTAGCCACTTACACCAATCTTTGGGCTTGTCAATGCACATGCATTATCTCAAGTAATTTTCCAAGCATCTATTGACTATCTTAGTTGGACCATCAGATTGAGGATGAAATGAGGTAGATAATAACAAATCAACTCCTTGCACACTAAACAATGCAGTCCAAAAGTGACTGAGGAAAGTTGCTCCTCTATCACTCACAATTGTCCTTGGCCATCCATGTAACTTGAATACATGATCAAGGTAAGTCTGAGCCACTTCCATAAAGTGGGCATACTTACTCAGCCTATCTACCACAACAAAAATCACCTCCATCCCACATGACATAGGAAGGCCTTCCACAAAATCCATGGAAATATCCATCCAAACATCTGTAGGTATTGGTAATGGCTGTAATTTCCCTGGAGAAGCAGCATTGTCATATTTACAAGCTTGGCAAATTGTACAAACTCTAATATATGCCTGCACATCCCTGTTCATACCCTTCCAATAAAAGAAATGATGCATTCTTTGTAAAGTAGGTTCTCTACCAGAGTGTCCCCCCATAAAAGATCCATGTGCCCACTGCATTATGGTATTTCTGACTTCCATATCATTGCCCACAACCATCTTATTTTTTCTTCTGAGAATTCCCTCCTCCCACCTGTAATGATGCACTGCCTGAGGAGAGACCCCTGCTGTCACCTTCTCCCAGATCTCCTTAATATTATCATCTCTTTCATAGCTATGTTTAATCAAATCTAAGAGGTTAGAATCAACCGTTGACAAGGCTAAACATAGCAATTCAACACCACTAATTCTGGATAGAGCATATGCCACTTTTATACTGGATTTCATAAGTAAACCCCATCAACTTTGAAAGCCAAAATTGTTGAAAAGGAGTAGAAATTTTCCGCTCTAGTAACCATTTGAGACTCTTCTGATCAGTTTTGATAACAAAAGCTTGACCCACCAGATATTGCTCCCACTATTGGACAGCAAAAACTACTGCCAAGAGTTCTTTCTCATAGACTGAAAGGTGTGGCCATTTTGGTCCCAAAGCTCTGCTTATATAAGCTAGTGGATGCCCTTCCTGCATAAAAACCGCACCAATTCCTTTTTGTGAAGCATCTGTTTCCACCACAAAAACTTTACTAAAGTTAGGTAAGGCCAATACTGGAGCAGATGACAAAGCCTCCTTCACTTTTTGAAAAGAATCAGTAGCTTCTAGATCCCACTTGAAAGCATCCTTCTTCAATAAATTGGTTAAGAGCTTAGTCAGCTCAGCATACCCCTTATAAACCGCCTGTAATATCTTGCCATTCCCAGAAAACTCCTCAACTGCTTAACTGTTTGTAGAACTGGCCAGGATTGCACTACCTCGACCTTTTTAGGATCAGTTTCAATTCCTTGTCCGGATATGAAATGTCCTAAATACTCCACCTTCTTCATGCCAAAGGCACATTTACTCCTCTTAGCAAATAGTTGATGTTGTCTCAACACATCAAAAACTTGTTTAAGATGCTCCTTATGTGCTTCCCAGTTAGGACTGTACAGTAATATGTCATCAAAAAATATGAGTACAAACTTCATGAGAAAAGGTTTGAAAATGTGATTCATAAAACCCTGAAAAGTAGCTGGAGCATTAGTTAATCCAAAGGGCATAACTAAGAATTCAAAATGGCCATAATGTGTTTTAAAAGCTATTTTGTAAACATCTGCATCATGCACCCTTATCTGATGGTAACCAGCTCTCAGATCAATCTTAGAAAAGACCCTTTCCCCTGCCAACTCATCAATCAACTCCTCCACTACAGGTATAGGAAAATTTTCCTTCACTGTCTGCTTATTTAAGGCCCTATAATCAGTGCATAGACGCCAATCCTCGTCCTTTCTACCAACTAGTACCACAGGTGAGGCATATGGAGAAGTACTAGATTGAATGGTTCCCTGATCCAATAATTCATTGATTTTATGCTCAATAATATCCTTCTGCTTCAGGGAATACCTATAGGGTCTCACATTAACTGGTTGGGATCCCTCCTTGAGTGGTATTCTGTGATCAAAAGGACCCCTATTAGGTGGTAACCCTTTTGGTTCCTTAAAATGTCCTCATATTGTGTGAGTAATGCATTAAGCTCCTTCTGAGAATCCTTGGTCATTTCCTCATGCAACCCTAGCTCAGTGTATCCTCCTTGTTCAACAGGCTGCATCATATATAATTCAGTAGCTTGTTGTGATTGTTTAAGACCCCCTTTGAATTCCTTTATCTTTCCAGCTTTCTGTCCCCTCAGTAAAACTTTATTCACCTTGTACTTGAACTTCATATACATTTCATGAAAATCCCAAGATATTTGACCCAAGGTACTGAGCCATTGCACCCCTAATACCATATCATATCCCTTGAGAGGCAATAACAACATGTCACTGCAGAATTGAGTATTATGCATCCTCCATTGGACTCCTTTACAAATGTACTTGCATTCAGTATTAGCCCCATCTGCCACACTTACTAGTAAAGGGTCTATCCCCTCCGACCCGCATCCCAACTTCTTGGCCATGTGATAACTCAGAAAATTATGAGTGCTACCAAAATCCACCAATATCAATATCTTCTTTTTATCCACATAACCATTAATTCTCATAGTGTTATAGGTAGTGAAACCATGCAGGGCATGAAATGAAATAAGGGGTTCTTCTTCTTCTTGTCCCTTATCACATTCCTTCTCCCATTTGCTACTGCTAGCCTCCAAATCTTCACCTCCTTCAGTTCCCAAAATTTCCACTAAGAAAAGCTGAGAGCCTTTATGATTACAAACATGTTCTCTACTATATGGCTGCTCACAATAGTAACATAATCCTTTCGCCCTCTTCTAAGCTCTCTCAGCAGCTGACACAAACTTCCTAGGTGCAGAGTTAGTCATATTAACAGGCAGTTTCTGAGTATTGAGTGGAAGCTTATTCCTTGCACCTACTGGCATAGGCAACAACGGTTTGTTGTTAGACATCTTAGGAACCGTTATTTTGTTCTGATTGCTTAGAGCATCAACTGACTCCTCCTGCAACCTAGCCAATTGAATTGCTTCAGTAATGGACCTCGGATGAAATGCTTGCACAAATGACTTCAACGTAGGTTTTAATGCAACTATGAATTAGTCCAGAAAGTAATCCTCAGGTAATTTGGCATTTCTCTGCATCATTTGTGCCTTAAGCGTTTCAAACTCATCAATGAAATTTTCAATAGATCCGGTGTGTTTCAATCTATTAAATTTCTCTACCACGTTATTACTGATCGGATCACTGAATCTAGCCTGAATATCATCACAGAATCTACTCCATTTCAATTTCTTCCTTGTTACGACATAGTTACCAAACCAACTAGCTGCTCGCCCCTCCAAATATAATGATGCTAGATTAACTTTTTGAGAATAAGGTACTTTGCATAACATAAAATACCTCTCACATTTCTGAATCCAAACTTTTACACTCTGGCCTTCAAGGGATGGAAACTCCACTCTCGGACGAAATTTAAACGTCTGATTACCAGGATTAGAGCCCGATACATCATCATCATCATCTTCTATAGAATCTTCACCTTACGATTCATTCTCATCATGATTCTTATGTATATGTGTCTCCGGTGGTGTATTCTTATGCAATTCAACCATCTTCTTCATTAATTTGCCAACAATGTCCATTAATGACTTGTTTTGATTCTCCAATTTCAAGTCAAATTCCATCTGCATCGCCTTCAACATCTCCTCCATTTCAACCCCTAAATAGGAGAAATGAGACCTTGTTTATATTAAGGGTAAGTCGCCAAACATTTGGGCGACTTATGAGTCGTCAAACCGGATGACGACTTATAAGTTGTCCAACCGTTTGGCGACTTACCCCGACCATGATTAATTCCATCAGTATATCAGTAAATACTTTTAACCCAGCATTATTTTAGTAATTAATTAATTAATTAGCATTAATTCGAAAAAAAACTCCAAACTTATTATTGGAGTATAATGATTATAATCCTTTGTTCTGAAGGGGTGTCCGATTCTGGAGAATCCGCATTTCAAAATCCATTCAAATCTAAGGGGGTTGGGACACCCCTAGTTTGCCGGAATATACCTTTTCCTCTTACAAAGAGCAAAAATTCGACCGGTCAGATGAGAAATTACAGTGCCGGGGCAAAGGATGCTGCGTTGGTCGACGGCGAAAGTGTTCAGTCTGAGGTGTCACCCATTGCCCCGGTCCGAGCCCGAGCCCCTTTTCTGGCTCCTTCAAAAACATTTAAAATCGAAATCAATCGCATTGTGTAAAGAAATCCACGCTTCCCTGCTCAAGTCCCACTCGGATCACCTATGCCACGTATCGAACACCCTCTTGACTTTTTACTTAAAATGTGGGGATTTCTCCAGTGCACACCATCTGTTCGACCACATGCCTCACAAGAACGTCGTCACATGGACGTCGTTGATCTCATCCTACATTCGTCAGGGGGATGCCGAAAAGGCACTGAATTTGTTCAAAGAAATGCTCCACCAGAATCAGAATCCAAATGCGTACACATTTTCAACCCTGCTCCGAGCTTGTACTAGTTGTTCCTTGATTGAATTGGGCAGGCAAGTGCACGGTCTAATTCTTAAGCATGGCCTTTCTCAGCATGAGTATACCGGAAGCGGTCTAGTAGATTTCTACAAAAAGGTGACATGCGACCTGAGTGATGCATCATGTGTTTTCCGTAGACTATCAGCGAGAGATCTTGTTACGTGGAATGTCATCATATCTGGATTCGCACAATCTGGGGATACCAGCAAGGTTTTGAGTCTATATGCAGAGATGAGGGAGGTGGATGAATTGATTCCAAATGATTTCACAATAACAAGTTTGCTCAAATGTTGTGTTTCCATAGAAGATGTGGAAAAAGTTCATTGCCTTGCTCTGAGATATGGATTTGAGGGCGACATCGTAGTAGGAAGTGCTTTAGTGGAGGTATATGGGAAATATGGAGATTTATTTTCTGGAAACAAGATTTTTTATTCAATGGAGGTTAAGGACGCGTTTGCTTGGAGTTCAATAGTGACCTGTCATATAAGAGCAGGCTTAGGGAAACAAGCCGTTGTGTTATTCAAAGAAATGCTTTCACAAGGTGCAGGACCTGATCAGCATATACTCTCAGGCACTTTAAGAGCCTGCGTAGAGATCGGCATTCTTGAAACAGGAATTCAAATGCATACACAAACCATAAAAAATGGTTACCAAAAGGACTGTTTTGTTAACACTGGCCTCATCAATCTTTATGCAGCTACGAACGGAATATCTGTGGTTGAAAAGTTGTTTAGAAGTTTGGATAATAGAGATATAGTGGTATGGAACACAATGATTTCATGTTATGCAGAATTGGAGGAAGAAGGGGCTTCTTCGTACTTATGCATAAGTCTCTTAAGAGAACTACTCACTCTAACTTATATTTTATCTCCGGACGTAGCAACTTTTGTCACTGTTATGAGTTCTTGCAGAAGTGTTTCAGACTTTCCTATAGGAATTCAGATTCATTGCTTGATGATAAAGAATAGCCAAATCTGCCAAGCACACAGGACTACCATAGGTAATGCACTCATAAGAATGTATTCAAACTTCAAGGACATAGAGAGTGCTCAGAAGGCCTTCAATGCCATTCTTCATAAAGATGAAGTCTCATGGAGTTCACTTATTGGAGCTTACCAACAGAATGGTTTTGATTTTATAGTTCTTAAAATCTTCAAAGAAATGTTAGAAAATGGTATACCCCTAACGAATTGCAGCCTTCCTTTAGCCGTTACCGCCTGTGGAAAGATCTCAGCCATTGATATAGGAAAACAGATCCATTGTCTTGTGTGTAAGTTAGGATTCAACAAAGACATCTTTGTGGGGAGCTCAGTCGTTGATATGTATGCCAAATGTGGGAACATGGAGGGTTCAGAGAGGGCGTATGAGGAAAATGGAGAACCAAATGAGGTGTTGTTCAACTCATTAATCTCTGGGTTTGCAAAGGATGGCAATGCAATTAAAGCTGTTAAACTTTTCCATGAAATGGTAAAAATGAGATTGATACCTAACCATATCACCTTCCTGTCAGTTCTATCAGCGTGCAGTCATGCAGGTCTTGTAGAAGAGAGTTTGTTTTTCTTCAAACTGATGAATCAAAGGTATAATTCTAGGCTTATATTTGGACCCACTAGTTTTAGGTTTCCAGGACTTTTAGGTTACATATTTGCAAAGCCTAACTTTAGGTTTATCAGTGGTGAGTAATTATTGTTTTAGGGCTATTTCATAGTTAATGATTTCAATGCTTAGCTATTTCATAAGTAATCATCACTAGTTAAGTGTAGGACTAAATAATTCCTAAACACACTTATATTTAGTATATCATTGATTAATTGTCATACTTTAGGTATCATGTGAAACCGGAAGCAGAACATTTTGGAAGTTTGATTGATGTGCTGGGGCGTGTGGGGAGGCTTGAGGAAGCATATGAAATGGTGGAGAATGGGGGTGGGTGTGTTTTTGCCTGGAAGACGTTGATGAATGCTTGTAGAAATTATGAAAATGTGAAGACAGCAGAAAAGTGTGCTCAGAGAGTAGTGGAAATTGATCCCAATGATCCTTCTCCGTACATTCTTTTATCCAATATGTACTCCCGAGAGGGGAGATGGGAAGACGCATCGAAGCTGAGGCAGAAAATGGTGGAAATCGGAATGAAGAAGAATGAAGCTGGAAGCAGTTGGTTGATGATGTAGGTAAATTAGCAATGAGGGACCCCCTCGTTGACCGAGTTTGACTTTGACTACGGCAACTCTCTATTCTCTTTACAAAATCACATAGTAACATCTAACCCAAGAACCAGTGCCGTTTTGTTTTATACAAAAAGGACAATACGTTTAGGCAGTACGGTTTAGTTGTGTATTTATTATTTACGATGGTATAATAAATATACCATCGTAAATAACTAATTTTTATTTACTTATTTTTATCTTTGGGTGGATGGTTAATATCACTCTTTTGAACGATGGTTTATCAATCAATATTGTCAATATAATTAAATGTAATTCACTATGTTCTCTTCTAAAAAAACGTTGCTATTGCATACTCTTTCCATCCTCAAATATTGTAAATTTTATTGTGCTTCTTTTACTCCCTGATTAATTAGGAAATAGATTAATGAAAATATGGTGCCGAGCATTTCACATTTCGACATCCATCAAATGATTAATAGTGGTGCGTGATTACACCCTATTTATTTACCTTTCACATAGATAAAAAGTATAAATACAGACACATATCGATAAAGTTTGTCTATGTGAACAAAATTTGTCTTTGTGAATAAAATTTGGTTTGTGTGTAAATAAAATTGATTGGTGTACTTTGTTTTTGCACATTTATCGGGGTGGTTTCAAGGAAATCAATGTCGGTATACACAGATAAAACATATATGAGTACATAGTTTTTATCTGTATAGACAACTAATATTAGGATTAAGTTGTTGTGTACACAACAAAAATGTTACTCAGAAAATTGATGTTCTTGTACACATATCGTTTGCGTGTAAATCACATTGATTAAATACTTTTTTTTTGCAGAAATGTCAGGGTGATTGCACAAAAACCATGTCTGTATATACATGAATTAGTTGTTAGTTGTCTATATAGACAAAAAAGGTGTCTATACATATACAACTTTTGTCTGTGTACACAAACATTTGTTTCGGTTTAACCTAACTCTGACTTTTATAACATTTTTTGTCCGTATACACAGACAATGAAAGAAAATCAGTGTACGTACATTTTTTGTCTATGCCGAAATTTTATAAAATGTTACTTGTTTTTCAGTTCATCTATCATTACAAACAATATTAATCCAGTACGATACAAACAATATTTATTAATATCGAGTACAATACTGATAATATTTATCAATATTCAATACGATACATACAATATTTATATATCACGTGAACAAAATTTTTGGTGGATCTAATTTTATGGTGACTTTCCGGTGAATTTTCAGTTATTGTCAATCAACATTTTTTCCCGTGAAGATGATGATGATGATGATGATGAAGGAGGAGGAGAAACAAAAAATAAGAGATTGATTTATATAATTAGGAATGCTTTATGTAGGGTGTACCCCATAGTGTACCTCTAGCATTTTTGAATGATTGATTATAGGACGTTTGGACACCGAAACAATCTGAGCGTCTGTCGGTCCTATCTACGAGTGTAAACTCGGAGGCACACCATCAACTGGACGGCTAAAAGAGCATTTATTTGGCCGGCTCAATTCGTTTTGATACTTCCTCTGTATTTTTTGTTTGCTACACTTTTATTTTTAGGATGTATTTTAACTTTTGCTACAATTTCCCTTTTTGGTATATTTTTTATTAAAAATATTCCCTTGCTTTTGTTTTTTCTACTTTTTCATATTTTCTTTCATACTTTTGCACCATCTCTCATACTCTTTTTACACAATTCATTACGCCTATTACGTTTTGCTTAAATATGATGCATTTCAAATCTCTATGCATCAAAGAGTAAAATACAATGGGAATAATACCAACTTATTTAACAGTTTTTTCCCTCACGAATTAATTTAATGATTGCACTTAAAATGTACAATAATCATCTGACCCGATTGCCTGAGTAATCATGTCATACTTTCCAATCTTGTGTAATTCTTATAATTAGCAAGCTCCATATATTTGGGCTAAGACAAGAGTGCTACTAAAAAAATAACATTTGGACAAAAAAGTGTTTTTTTTAATTTCCAAAAATGAGACTACAAATGAGTATGGGGACTATTATACCCTTGTTATACCCAATTGACCCATATAGTGATCAACAGTACAATGACCAGTTACCCGATCAGTAACAGTTACCTGGCCTGACCAGTTACAATTACTCGACCCATCAGGTACAATCATGGTTCTAAAACTAGGAAAAATCGGCCGCCTAGGTGTCAGATATGCACTAGGCGCCTTCCTGCTGTAGAGATTTTCTAATATTCGCTGCTATAGTCGCTCAGCCGACTAATCGGCCGCCCAGACAGAGGAATCAATGAAAAAACCGCCCGCCTAGGAAGATAATTAGTCGCGCTAGAGCTTTTAAACAATAGCTGCGTTTTTTGACTTTTTACTGATGAAGAGGACGCCTCTTACATCTGTAAGCCCAATCCACTAAGAAAATCAAAATTGGTGTGCCTCTTGCTTTATTGTCCACACCTAAAACGGAGCTTTCTTCTCTTTGATGGAACGGCGGCTGGGTGATGAATCTTCTTCTCTTCCATTTCCCAATACGGTTCTTTGTTGAGTATTGAATCTGCTTCTCCACTCTTCGGTGTCCAGCAGTCCAGACTCCAGACCATCCAGATAAAGAATTTTTTTTAACGAGTTTTTTTTTAGAAACCTTGTCTGACCAAATTGAGTTCGGTATTGCATTGAGGTTACATGTTTTGCAGGGATTATATGCACATAAGGTGCTGAGATTGCTTGTTATTGTCCGAATGGGATTCTAAGTTCTTATCTTTTTTTTTGGATAAAATGTAAATGTATATATATCCAGAAAAATAGCATAGTACAATGCATCAAGCGTACAATCAAAGTGCATATCCCGATACACGGAATATCACAAAAACAGCCTCAAGCGCTCACACGTCCACCTAATGGGCTCAATAAAACTAAAGACAATCTTACAAAAGACTACTTCAACAATAATTAGGTATTCCTAACTTAACATCCAAAGAATGCCCGGAAAGGAGTAGTGAACTTTGAGTCAAAGCACACTTCCCCTTTTTTCTTAGTAACACCCGGTATGGCCTCAAGACATTTGGCAGTAAAAGTTAGGCCCGTTTTGTCCAAATCATCCGTAAGTCGGAGTGAAGTATCCACTCTTATTACGCTAGCGTGCACAAATCTAAACGGTTTGACAAACAACTTGAATGTCTTCCCATTTAGTACCTCACATTTGATGACCACATCTTGTTGATGTAAATCATTTTCTTTAGCAACTACCCTCTTAATTTCTTCCAAATTGGCCACATGATCCTCATTTGAGTTTTTCTTAACCTTTTGTTCAACTTCGGAAGGCCCTTGGACTCGCGGCGTGGCCCCAATAGAAACTGCAGCAGTCTGCTTCTTGGACCCGGTCGGGTTAGGGGAACACCCGGTCGGGCTTCCACCCTCAACAACTTGTTTCCCTTGTGACCCGGTCGGGTAAGGAGGAGACCCGGTCGGGCTTGGTTCCAGGGCAACTTCTGGCCGGTCAGTGACAGATTCAGTTACAACAATTTCAGCCCCTACCACATCAAGTTTTTCCTTCTCCTTATTTGCCCCAACCCCACATTTAGATAGCTTCTTACAAATAAACGGGTGATGCCCAAATTCTTTGCAAAGAAAGCAATAACTAGGAAAAGTTTCATACACCACACTTTGCTTGATTACCTTTTGTGAAGGTAGCCATATAGGAAACGAGAGTGGTGGTGGCTTCGAGATATCAACCTCTATCAACACTCTAGCATAGTCATTGTTGATCCTTTCTTGTGTGATTTTATCCGTTGTTATAGGAACCCCAACCATGGAAGCCACCTCACTCATGGCTTCATCATTCCATAATTGCAATGGTAGATCATGGAACTTTACCCAAATTGATACTTTTAGAAATTCTTCATCCTCAAACGAAAAATTTTCCGAAAGTACCTTGAGCATTAGAAGTTTACCAAACACAGTATATGGTCCTCCTTGAAGTACCTTTGATCTTTCCTCCTCACTTTGAAATTTAAAGATCAACCAACCCTTTTTGTGGGATCTGACAAGGCATTTAACACCCCATTTAGCTTTAAGGTCATGCACCGCTTTGAGTCCGGGGAAGTTCCCGGCGAAGTGTCCAACTAGACAAAACCCCCACATTTCAACCATGGATGGTAGCACCCGATCGCCAAAGTCCAAAGTATCTCCTTTGGGAGGGATATATCTCAGTTTGATACCACACCTAGGATCACGGTTGTCCTTAAACAGAGCGTTCCAAGGGGCATAAGTTGCTGCCTTTGCAGTTGAATTTTCACCTGCAGTTAGTTCATTTACTGCAGCAGCAGTAGGCATATCCGCAGCAGAAGACATACCCACACCAATAACTCCAGTTTGACCTGCCTTTCCACTCATAATCAAAGTAGTACCATTTAAAGCAGCCTGAGTCTTACCCGCAGCAGGAGTATCCACAGGTAAGTCAATAGGCGCAGGTACTTTAGCTCCAGCGTTTTTCTTCGACTTCTTTGCCGCAAGTCCGGGCAGCAGTGCTGGAAATTCGCTGCCATCATCATCTTCCAGCACCGCGAAGCTCGACCTGGTAACAGGGCCCTGTAGCTTCTTCGAGGCCATAGCAGGTCAGACAGAGGTCGAATACGGCTAGCCCCTGTATCGGAGTCGCGTATTAACCGAATTCACTCCTTCCAATCTTAAAATCGAGGCCGGGGACAGTAGCAATCCGGCTCAATTAGACTTCAACGACCAAGAACAGGCTCAAATCGGACAAATCCAAGGAACATGAACAGTAAAACGACGCACACACAGTTCTCAAAACCTGGGTTTTTTGGCCTTGAATCGACTTGTAATACTAAATTCAGTGAAGAATTGGGATTATCTGCGAAAAACGACCAAGAAACGCTCGAATAAAATACATCACCAACCACAAATCGAGCCAACCGCATGGTTACTCATCGGAAAAGAGCTGGGAGCGTAAATTCCCAGGAGAGAGAAGCTTTCAACTTTTTTTCTAAGTTCTTATCATGTGTACTGGAAGATGTATAGATAAGTTGAACTGTATTTTCTCAGTTCTTGGTTTCTGTAATTGGAAATTCTTTGTGTCATTATCCTCTCAATCTCTCTCATTAGAAGAGAAGAAAACCAAACAAATGAGTTGAAAATAGTTTATGAGAAATACAAAAATTACCTTGTTTTTCAAACTTGAATTCACTAACATCCAGTAAAGATATTTTCAACTTATTGTATTATTAATACTCGTTATTCTGTCAATCTCTCTCATTGTATTATTAATACTTACTGCTGATTTTTCTATTAAGACCGTCTAGACTGTCCAACTAAATTTATTATAGTTACTCCACTTACTTGTTAGTTCTTATTAAGATAATTCGAAAATATCATGATTTTTCTTGAGAAACATACTTAAGAGATAGTTTGTATGTAGATTGAGAAATTTATAGCCTAAATGCCTAATATTGATAGGAACTTGGAATGCACCTATGATGTTTGATAAAATTCCTCAAAGAAGAAATGAAAATTTTAACTAGTAATTTATTTCACACTCTGCTTTTCAGTAGTGTTCTTAGTTCTGATGATTGAAAAAAGTCAGTTGTTGAGCAACCTGTTCTCTGAAAAACCTAAGCTCCTCCACACCATACTCTTCTCCTCCTGCTTCCATCTCATCACACTCTGCCAAGAATGGCAAATTGATGTTGATATGCTGCTGTTGGTTCTTGATAGCTTCAAGTTGCTTCATCAGAGCCCTCTGCTTTTGGGTTTTGCTGTTATTCTGGTTGTTGGTGTTCTTGGGGTCATTTGCATTGTTATTAGGCTTTTGCTTTTAGTTCTGTTGGTGCGTCTACACTCCCACAAACTGTCACTTTCTGTTGTTCATTGTCTAAATTGACCTGGTAATCTCCTTCAATTTTTTGCAGAATTTTCTTCACTTTCTGTTTACACCCATCACAATGTATGTTCACTCTTAGGCCTAAGCACACATATCTGGATCTTGAGCAGCTTAAAGTCTTCATCTTTAGTCATTTTCTTCAGCTGGTTGTTTTTATAACTACAATTATGGAACTACTGGTTGTTTTTATAACTACAATTATCTTGAGTAGCTTATGGAACTGTTGGGTGTGATGTGCTGATGATTATACTAGGTAATATGCACCATGTTTATTATGTTTAACCTTTAAAATTTTATTTGTTTAATGTAGTATTTTTTGCCAAGATTGTTTGATTTTTTGGTATTATGCTGAAACTTGTGAAAATAAATGGGAAAGGTACTCCAATAGGAGTCCTGGCATGTATATTTATAATAGTAGAGTTCTTAACATACAAGGAAACAAATCTGCCTAATAATATTCTATTACACCCCCTCAAACTGTGCGGGAGATACAACGCGCAGGTTGTCCTTTAAAAAATGAAATTGCTGACTAGAAAGACTTTTTGTAAAAATATCAGCTAATTGAAGTTGTGTAGGGATGTACTTCATGACTAAGTTCCATGCGCCACACGTTCCCAGACAAAGTGATAGTCTATCTGGATGTGCTTGCTACGAGCATGCTGAACAGGATTAGCAGTCAAATAGGAAGCAGAAAAGTTATCACAAAATAACTGAACCGGTACTGTAACAGGAAAGCCAAGCTCAAAAAGTACGGAACGAATGTGCAACGTATCCTGAACAGTATATGCAACGGCTCGATATTCTGCTTCTGTAGAGGACTTGGACACGGTAGGCTTGTAATACTTGAGATTTAATTCAAACAGATTAATAGTATTACTCATACCAACAAGATGCATCTCCTTTTAAGGGAGCTCATCAACTAAGAACTCCAAAGTTAAGCGTGCTTGCACGAGAGTAGTCTTGGGATGGGTGACTCCCTTGGAAGTTTCTCAGGGCGCGCACGAGTGAGGACAAAGTGCGCGGAAAGGCTAGTGGCGGTTTGTGAGGATAGTACTAGAGGTCCGGAGGGAGGTCAGAAGTAACTACCTCGGGCCCTGCGGGGCCGGGGTGTTACAGGTGGTATCAGATCTCCTTTTAAGGGAGCTCATCAGCTAAGAACTCCAAAGTTAAGCGTGCTTGCACGAGAGTAGTCTTGGGATGGGTGACTCCCTGGGAAGTTTCTCAGGGCGCGCACGAGTGAGGACAAATTGCGCGGAAAGGCTAGTGGCGGTTTGTGAGGATAGTACTAGAGGTCCGGAGGGAGGTCAGAAGTAACTACCTCGGGCCCTGCGGGGCCGGGGTGTTACAAGGCTGCTTCTTAGATTTCCACGAAACAAGATTCGGCCCCATGAACACTGCAAAACCAGTTGTGGACCGTGATGTATCTGGGCAACCTGCCCAATCCGCGTCTGAATACGCAATAACGCATGTGGCCCTAGAAGTAGGCTGTAGCCATAGTCCATGATCAAGTGTGCCCTGCAAGTATCTAAAAATACGCTTGACTGCAAACAAATGAGTAGTGCGAGGGGCATGCATACATTGAGACACTAAATGCACAGCATAGGTAATATCAGGTCATGTCAAAGTTAAATATTGTAATGCACCTACCATACTTCTATACTCGGTGGCATCTGTAAGAAGTTCCCCATCAGTAAGGGATAGTGAAGTACGAGTAGCAAGCGGAGTGCGAACAGACTTAACAGTGTGCAGATGGAAACGAGAAAGAAGATCAGAGACATATTTATGTTGAGAAAGAAACAAACCTTTAGAGGAACGCACAGCAAAATGTTTAGCAACAAGTTGAATGAAGGAGGTAATGACAGCGGAAGAATTACCAGTAATAATTATGTTATCAACATATAATAATAAATAAATGACATTATTATTCTGGCGGTAAATGAATAAAGAATTATCAGACTTGGTGCACGTAAAAAGGCATTCTTGACATCTAATTGACGAATGACCCACCCAAAAGAAACAGCTAATGTAAGTACAATACGAACAGTGGTGGGTTTAATAACTGGACTAAAAGTTTTAGAAAAATCCACACCTGCCTGTTGGTTAAAACCTTGAGCAACCAAACGCGCTTTGTGGCGCTCAATAGAACCATCTGATTTATATTTTGTCTTATAAGTCCACTTAGAGCCCACAACATTTTTAGTATGATCAAAAGGTACTAAATCCCATGTATTATTAGAAATAAGAGCATTAAATTCCTCAGCCATTGCCACTCGCCAAATTAAATGTTTATTAGCCTCAGAAAAACACGAAGGATCAGTTGATAAGACAACAATGTTTAAATTAAAAATTGATTTCGGTTTAAAAATGCCCGACTATGCCCTTGTTTGCATCGGATTAATATTAAGTATCGGGGCAGGACCAATATTCGGCGGAGGCACGACAGCCGTGGTGGTGGTAGAGTTGGGTGAGGCAGTCAGTTGGGATGGGGTAGGTGGTGTTGAAGAAGAAGAGGGTGAAGAGCCATTACCAGTTATAGGGGATGGCAGTGAGGTCGGAGAAGGGTAATGTGCGGCTGGGGAAGGGGAAGGGGGTGGATGGTTGGGATTTTCGAGCACGGCTGGAACAGAGGGCTGTGAAAGTGAGGGTGGATAATGGGTATTGTTGTGCGAGTAGGGAAGGGACATTGGTCTGGAGATGGGGTGGGTTAGAGTGAAGTCGGGAGCTAGAGGAATGGAGGACGAGGAAGAGGCATTCGTAGAAGAAGACAATGTGGCAAAAGGAAAAATATTTTCATGGAAGCGAACATGTCTACTTACAATAACTTTACCAGAGTTAGGCTCAAAACAACGATAGCCTTTAAAACCAGATGCATAGCCAAGAAAAACACATTGTATGGAGCGCGGAGAAAGTTTATTGGAGGGAGAGGCAGAAAAATTGGGGTAACAGGCACACCCAAAAATTCTTAAAAAACTATAGTCAGGAGGTTTTTGAAAAAGAATATCGTAGGGAGAAACATCATTAAGTGACGGAGTAGGAAGTCTATTAATAAGATTTGCAGCTGTAAAGATAGCATCAACTCAAAATGTGCTAGGAATAGCGGCAGTAATGAGCATAGTTCTAGCAAATTCCAAGAGATGACGATGTTTGCGTTTTGCAACACCGTTTTGTTGGGAAGTATGTGGGCAAGATTTTTGAAAATAAATGCCATGTTCGTCAATAAAATGCTGCATATTATTATTAACAAATTCACCCCCTCCATCACTCTGAAAAATTTTAATTTTAGAATGAAACATATTTTCAACTAAAACCTTAAATAGACGAAACTGAGTAAAAACTTCACTTTTATTACGCAAGGGATATATCCAAGTAAATCAAGAAAAATCATCAATAAAACACACATAATATTTAAAGCCTGAATTAGATAACACAGGTGATTGCCAAACATCAGAGTGAATTAACTGTAAAGGGGAAGAAGAAGTATGACTAGCATCCGAAAAAGGTAGTCGTTGAGATTTACCCAAACGACAGGAAACACAATCATGTTCAAAATTAGAAGAACTAGAAATAAGTTTTCTACGATGCAACAAGTGAAAAATAGTTTCACCACAATGTCCTAGTCTACGATGCCACACAGGGCCAGGAGAAGTGACTGTGGCAAGAGCTAACGGTGTAGATGATGTAAGACTGATAGGGTAGAGATGACCATTATGTCGCGCCTGAAGAAGAACTGCCCCCGAAAGTTTGTCCTTAACAAAAAATAGTTTTTATAAAAAACAACAACACAGTTGTTATCAGCGCATAATTTTCGAATAGAAATTAAATTAAATTTTATTTGAGGCACATGAAAAACATTTTTCAATGACAAGGGGCGACTGAAAGTATTTAAAGTAATATTTACAATATTAGCAATAGGTAAATTAGTGTCATTGGCCACACTAACAGTCATGGAGTCTGAGTAAGGGAATTTATTTGACAGAATACCTTCAGAAGAGGTCATGTGAGCAGAGGCACCGGAGTCCGGATACCACAAAACATCATTGGATTCGCCACTTAGAGTAATCAACGCAGGTGCAGGAGTTTGTGAAAAACGAGACGGACAATGCATCGCAGAGTGACCTGCAGAGAAACAAATTTGACACACAACTGGGGATGGAATAGACCCGAGAATACCCTCAGAAGATGGGAATCCTGCAGAAGAACCATGAGTACCAAAAGCATAATTAGCATTAATATTTAAAGTGGACACAACAGATTTACCAGATGCGTCATTAGGAGGTCTTGGAACAGAGCACCCTCTGCAGGTCTCGGCCCGGACTGGCTGGAATGCACCGTAGAAGCTGGTGGTGCGTAGTACTGCTGCGGCCCGTGTCTCCCGCCTCTGTCGCGACCCCCACGCCCTCTGCCGTCTCTGCCACGACTGCCGCGGCCGCGTGGCGCTGAAGGACCTGACTGCCCAGTTCCCAATGGAGCAGCAAACGCTTGGTGAGGGGAAGAATAATCTTGTTGTGGATGCAAAACAGTCTGCTCAGCCTCCATGAGGCGCAGGTGAAGGATGTCGGGTGGAAAGCTCTCGGGAAACAGTGAGATAGTACCCGTAACAAACAGATACTCAGGGCCAAGTCCCTGTAGTGTGCTTTGTAATAATTCTTTCTCAGTCACATGGGAATTAATTGCTGCTAAAGCATCAGCCAGATTTTTAATATCACGTAAGTAGTGGTCCATGGATTGATTAGATTTCTTTTTTATATTAGATAATAAGCGTTTAAGCTCCATAGCTCTAGGTAAACTGGCAGACATAAAGCGTGACTGTAAACGCTCCCATATACCCATTGAATGTTTAATATCATGAACATCAGTTAATACTTCACGAGATAAAGTAGTAAACAACCAGGAACGAATTGTTTGATCTACTCGAAGCCAATGATAATAGTCAGTATTAACGATTTGATGATTATTAAAATCCAGAGTGTATAAGGGAGGTACCGGAATAGAGCCATCTAACATACCAAATAGACCCTGTGACACCAAGAATGATTTGAATTGAGTGCGCCATGTAAGATAATCTTCAACTGCTTTGAGTTTGATGGTAACAATCTCGCCCACGTTTGTAATTCACGGAGAAACAGCCTGCACCAAGGCTGCCATTGGAGAGCCGAAGAGAGGGTTGTCATTCTGGGGTCAGACAACTCCTGGAAAACCAGCGAACGAAGGGCCAAAATAGGGAGAAGCTGGTGGCGGCGTGGGGCGTGGACTGGCCGGTGGCAGAAGAGGGCGACTCGGCTGCCATGGGAATTGCGGCGGCAAGGGGTTGAAGAGGGAATATGGCGTTGGCGCAGTATACGGCGGGAACGGATACGCTGCCATGTATTCGGTCGTTGGTGGTGGCATGGGGGAAGCTGCCAACCGGACGTGAGATCGCCGCCTGGGGTTGCGGTTGGGAGACGACATGGTGAGCAGGGGAGGAGAAGTCCGATGCCGAGGTGCCGATGTCCGCCGTGGAGAACGGTGGCGGCGGTGGTGTAGTTGGAGAAGTCGGCGGCGCCGTGGTGGAGAATTCGGAAGTCATGGCGGCGACTTAGATTGAAAAGAAAATTAGGGTTTTATTTGGGCTCGTGATACCATGTGAGAATAAATGGGAAAGGTACTCCAATAGGAGTCCTGACATGTATATTTATAATAGTAGAGTTCTAAACATACAAGGAAATAAATCTGCCTAATAATATTCTATTAAAACTGAGTTGGCCGCCTAGTCGGCGACTAATCGGCGTCTAGTCCGCCTAGGCGCTAGGCGGTGTTTGACTGCCCGACTAGCGCCTAGCGAATTTTAGAACATTGGGTACAATTACCTGACACATCAGTTAGAGTTATCCAACCCATAAGTTATAGTTACCTGACCTGTCATTTACAGTTACCCGCCCCGCCAGTTATAGTTACTTGACCCGTCAGTTACAGTTACCTGATCCCTAATTATAGTTACTCAATCCGCTAGTTACAATTACCCAAACGGTCAATTACAGATCTCCAATTTGACTAATTATAGTTATTCAATTCGACCTCTTAGAGTTACCGGGTTTGATTATTTACCGTTACTGCCGACCACCGCCGACAACCACCACCTCTAGCCACCGCCAGCGAACGCCGCCGCCAACACCACACCATTGCCCCTCCCCTATGTCACCGTAGCCCCTTGCCTCACCCAACCCTCCCCCTACATCACCTTAGCCCCCTGCCTCACTTAACCCCCTCCTTTGCGTCACCCTGCTTCTCCCTTACACCACCACGCCCCAGCCCTCCGGTCCCTCCTTCTACTGACCTACCCCAGTCCCAACTCCCTTGTCCCTGTCCTGTCCCCAACCCCCTCTCCCACTCCAGCTCCCCAACTGTGCACTGCCGCCGACCCGATTTGAAACCCAAACAGATTGCTTTTAATATCGCCACTCCACCTAGCCATAGATTCATTGATCGGTTAGAAAAATAGAAGAAGTAGAATGACAGCTACAACATCTGATGAGGGCAGAGTCAGCGGCGAGGTGATGAAGTCGGAGTTGATGGCGAAAGAGCGACCTGGAGGTGAAGCCAGTGCGACGGTCGGAGATGGAGGTGCGGTGATTTGGTGCGACGATTGCATGATGACTAATGATGTGTGGCGATGGAAGGAGAAGCAACGAGTATGGTTTTGGACTTTTGGGGATTTTTTAAAATGTTGGGTATTCTAGTCCTCTATTTGGTCTTTTTTATGTCAAGAACAAAAATAAGTCATATTATTGTTTAATAGAAAGCTGATAGTATTATTTTTGTCATTATTTCAAAAGTTATATTATAATCATCATGATAATATATTTTTTATTTCACAAATGTAAATTTAGAGTATTATGTACATATATAATTTTAAAGTACCTTTAGCATTCGTAATGATACAATTAACATTCTAAATTTTGTAGTGAAATAAATAATATTACCCCTTACCTATATAATTGCCATCACACAAATTTCATTATTAACATATTTAATTGACTCTTACATTATTCATACACTCTACTTTGATTTTATTTTTCACTGATGTGTTAAACAATATTCTTATGAGAAATTACACTAAATAAGAGTAAAAATGTTCTGGAATTCTAAAATAGGATTGCTATGTTTTTCTTCTAAAATAGGAGTCTTAAGTGCCATGATTGAAAAATATTGGCATGCCATTAATGGTAGTAAATAGGAGTTGTTAGCTGTTCACGTATTTTTCAAGTGTAGTCGTCTTTGTCACCCGATATGCAACCTTGTTTCCTAATGATTGACCGTTTCACCGAACTTCTGGAAGTATCACGACTTTGCTCCGCATATCCTTTGTTCCGGTCATGAGTGACAAGCAACCAAAATCAAGGTGCACACATGAGTGGTCTACAAAACAGATTACGTTTGTTCATGTACCCATCTTAAGATGAGTCCTTACTTATTAATGTTGAAAAGATCTTTGAATTTTTTTTTAATTTGGGATCCTAAGTCAGTTGCCATCGAAGTTGTGGGGATTCCACTTTGTCAACTTCTGACTTAGGGGGAGCCACTTTATTTTAAACTTTGGAGTGAGAGAGACTTCTTCAACTTCAGTGAATGGGTTCTCTTTGAGATGAGATTCGAAAAGTTCTTCTTTTAATAGCCTTATGAAATGTAGCCATATAATAATGAAATTAAAATAAATACAATAGATGAAGGATTTCCATAGAAATAGCAAAGATATGCCGTTTGCCATGCATGCATATATATATATGTGAATTATGGGTGCTAATAATATACTCAGTATATCATCTATCAATTATTTAATGTGTACCAATAACGATTTGAACAAAATAGTAAGTAGAGCCAAGCATTGATAATTTATACCAATATGTTGTACTTTGTGTCGTTTGTATTAGGGCTGGCATTTTGAACCGAAAAAACGATAACCGAACCGAAAATAACCGAACCGCATTGAAAAAAACGAACCGGACCGAACCGATAATTTTTTGGACCCGAAAATCGGGACCCGAAAAAAAGTCGGTTCGAAATCGGTTTTCATACTCAAATTATCGGTTTGGACCGAACCGAACCGATTTTTTTAATAATAATAATAATTATTATTACTAGTAGTAATGACATTTACAAATGATATGATTTTTTCTGGCATGCAGTATAAACATACTCTATCTGTTAGTGTGTTGGTCGCGCACTCGACTCTCCTTCAAGTGTCCCAGGTTCGACTCCCAACGGTGCCATTTTGTTTTAGCCTTTTCAGTTTTTTCAGTTTTTCCTCCTCTACTATTTTGTCCCACACCGGAGACAATAAGAGGGTTGCTTCTCAAACAGTTCTATATAAAAAGGGACCTACTGCAGTTTAATATATACGGATATTTCGTATTTCGGTTGCTGCTAATGGGGTCAATATTGTAGTATAAAAATTTGTTGGGCTTATTGGGCTCTCTATTTCGGTATTTCGGTTCCCAATTAAACCGAATCGATTTTTCGATTCCCAAAAAACCGGTTCCATATTCCATTTCGGTTCGGGTTCGGTTTCCATTTTTCCTAAAATCGAAAAATCGGTTCGGTTCTACAAACCGATAAATTGGTTCGGGTCCCAAACCGAACTCATCCCTAGTTTATATTACTAATAAATCACACTTTTAATAGCATCTATAGCTACCGTCAATTGAAATTGATAATGATTTGTGAGATATACATGTTAAACTTATGTTTATTTTTATGCCTGACACTAAATATATTTGTAAAAAATGTCAGCATATTTCTCAGTACTATATTTCACATATATTAGTCTATTTGAAATAAATTTGGTATCAAATGCAAAGTTAGATGATCAGAAAACATTTATGTAGTGGCATGACCATTTAGGTCACCCGGGTCATGTAATGATGCATAAAATCATTATCAGTGTTCCATTATCAAGTGATTTTCCTTGCAAGGTCTGTTCTATTGAAAAAATGATCATCATGCCTTCTATGAACAAAATAGCAAATGAATCACCCCTATTTAGAAAGAATTCAAGAAAATATTTGTGGGCCGATAGCCCAACATGTGGACCACATAGATATTTTATGATGTCGATGGATGCTAACATCCTTGCTCAAATCATAAAATTAAGAGCTCATCTTCCGTATCATTCTATAAAGAGAATCCGACTTGATAATGCAGGAGAACTTACGTTCCAATCATTTAACGACTATTGTGTGTCGATTGGGATTTATGTTGAGCACCGTGTTGCTCATGCCCATATACAAAATGGTCTTGTTGAATCTTTAATTAAAAGATTATAATTAATCACCAGACCATTATTGATGAAGTGTAGTTTACCTTTATCAGCTTGGGGACATGTTATTTTACATTCAACAAATTTAGTTCGACTTAGGCCAACTGCATATCATGAACATTCTCCAATGCAATTAGTAACCGGAAATGAGCTAAACTTAGCACATATAAATATTTTTGGATGTGTCATTTGTGTTACGATTTTTCCACTGCATCTTTATATCATCATCATCATTACCCCCAATGCTGCAAAGGCTTCCAACTACAATGGAGTAGGGGGGTCTGATGTACGCCGTCTTAACCATGTACTAAAGTACAAGAAAACTGTTTCCGAATGACCCATAGTGAAAATCGCGTTGAAAATTGCATGGACTGACCGCTGCTTCGTAGCAAAGAAGCGCTGACAGTTTAGTGAATCATTTTGCTTTATTCCATCACATTCCAAGTCAAAATATAGTGAGTCTTTGGCTTCATTGCAAATGATGGCAATTGGTCCTCAAAGAAGGTTGAGAATTTATGTTGGATTTGAATCACCCTCAATTATAAAGTTTCTCGAACCTATGACCGGTGATATATACACCGCAGTTTGCAGAGTGTCATTTCAATGAGACAGTGTTCTTGACCTTGGGGGGTAATAAATTAGACCCAACTACAAAAAAGATTACATGGAAAGAAATATGGTTATAATTTCTTGACTCGAGAACAAATATATGTGGGGAAAAATCAACACACAATTCATTTACAAAATTTTGCAAATAAGTTGTTTGATGCATTCATAGATACAAAGAAAGTGACAAAGTCACATATTCCTGCTATGAATGCCCATGCCCGAATCAAAATCCCAACTAAGAATTTTGAAAATTCTCTTGCAAATGATTCTTTTATACACAAAAGGCGTGGCATACCACTTGGATCAAAAGATATAAAACGAGGAAAGACTAAAAGGCAGGAATTGATCTGTGATGTCAAAGATGTTCATCCTTCTGAACAAGAAAATGAAGTCAAAGATCCAACTTTCTTAAATGGGGTGATAATTCTGAAATTTCAATAAATTACATTTCTATTGAAGTGCATTGAAATCGAAAAGAGGTTGATATTAATGAGAAAATACAACATGATTGGCCAAAATGGAATGAAGCAATTCATGCAGAACTAAAATCACTTGAAAAACATGATGTTTTTGGACCGATAGTCCATACACCAAAAGACATAAAACCAGTGCTTTTAAATGGAGTTTTGCCCGCAAACACAATGAGAAGAATATAATCGTAAGATATAAAACCCGACTTGTTGCCCAAGGTTTTTCTCAAATGTCAGGAATTGATTATGAGGAGACATATTCTCCGGTAGTTGATGCAACTACATTAAGATTTCTCATTGGCAAGTTATGTTTGAAAGGTTGCAAATGCACCTAATGGGTGTAGTGACTGCATATTTATACAGCTCACTCGATACAAACATTTATATAAAAGTTCCTGATGGTTTTAAAATGCCTGAAGCTTGTAGCTCGAAACGTCGATACATGTTTTCCATTAAATTACAAAAATCATTGTATGAATTAAAACAGTCTCGACGAATGTGTATAATCGTTTCAATGAATATCTGCTCAAAGAGGGATACAAAAAGATCCAATTAGTCCATGTATTTTCATTTGGTGATCAAATTCGGGATTCGTCATAATTGCGGTATATGTTGACGACTTAAACATTATTGGAACTCCTGATATGAAATTGAAAATACTACAAAATATCTAACAAAAGAATTTGAAATGAAATGTCTTGGGAGATCCAAATTTTGTCTTAGACTTCAAGTTGAGCAATTGAAGAATGAATTCTTCATCCATCAATCCAATTACACCAAGAAAGTTTTGAAGCGGTTCTATATGAACAAAGCTCATCCTTTGACTTCACCAATGGTGTTTCGATCCTCAACATACACAACGATCCATTCCGTCCCCGAGAATACAACGAAGAAATACTCAGTGTGAAGTACCGTACTTGAGTGCTATTGGAGATTTAGAAGTTGTTCTCTTCGTCTTATTCTTATTACTTATTGTTTATTCTTATTTTATTCAGATCAGCTCAGATCAAATCAAATCAGACTAGTAAGATTCAGATCAGATCAGACCAGACTAGAAAGCAGCAACTCATGATGTTGTTGTTGTTGTTATTACATGGAGTAATTATAATTATAATTATAGAAATAATTATAATTAAAAATATAATTACAATTATAATTATAGCTATAATTATAATTAGTGTAATAGATATCATTATTATAATTTTAATTATAATTACTATTGTAGTTATATTATAATTTTTTATAATTATGATTATAATTATAATTATAATTAAATTATAATTATAATTACAATTATAATTATAATAATTGTAATTATAATTATAGAAATATTCATATCAGATCAAATTAGAAAGATTCAGATCAGACCATAAGGATTTAGATCATGTCAGGAAGATTCATATCACATCAGAC